TAGGGACTTTTAGATTTGCGTGGACTGATACGTGTGACGTCCATTCAAGGCAGTGCATTAAAAGGACGTCGATCGGAGCACTCCACGTTGTCGTTGTGCAAATCTAAAAGTCCCTATTATCTCGAGGATCATACACGTGCCGTTTTTCTATGATATATGCACAAAGGATGCTTTTGTGTCAGCAACATAAAGGTAATGGAATTTCAGATTTCAGAGCAAGAACAAATGCTTAGTCCCTCACCTCACGGTTGAACTCAAGTGAGACCATTTTTCGTTCACTGAAGAAAGATTCCCTTGGCGGTTTAGCCAAAAATAAGTTTAAAGGTACTATGTCGCATTTCCCGCCAAACAATGAAAAGGTTAAATTCCAAAGACATTTGAAAGATAATACTAATTTAAAACTTCCCTGAAAAGGGGGGCTTGATAATGTCTTTAAGTGGGAAAATAACGACTATTAGTTGTCAAATCGACTTAACAGTTATAGAGCCAGTAAGTAATAATCTGATGTTCAGACCATTGTACCGAATGATTGTACATTTTATGCTACGCAAAGATTCTATCAGTTTAATTTTGGCCATTTCAAGAAGTAGGTTATTGATGTTGTCCATTGCTCATGTACCCTTTGCAGCTCATTTTATATATATTTTATTACCAAAAAAGAAAAAAGCCCGTCAGTCACTCAATAGTGTATGACAGTGAAGTTTAGCAAGTAAACGGGTTTCCTTGTATAATTTGAATATTAGGACACTAGATGGTAACGTTTAAGTTTCACAGATAACACATACAAGACATATTCATAATTACTGCAAAGTTCTACAGAATTTTATGTTGGCTGCAAAAGGGACATAGTATCTTTAATACGACAGGCTGGTAGTATAACAACAAATAAGCACACGTTTTGCTAGAGTGAGCAGGTATGAAAGCAACCGAGGACATCTGGAATTCTGGACAATAGGTTTGCCAAGTTTGATATTGACATTGTAGCGCTATTCACCATAGACGAGACGACGAGACTTTTGATCCTCCAGAATTTTAAGTTGATGTATTGTACATAGTGTTGCAGGTTAAACCATTGCAAGTGGTAGTGCCAAATGAAAGAAACATTTAAAATTGATTATGAATACAATTGCAAGAATTTTGAAATGATAGCTATGTAGAGGATGACTAAAGATTTAGAAGGTCACTTATCTGTAATAGTTATTATTTATACATTTGTCATATCAACATGTGGATATCAGCTATATCCTTTAATACCAGAGTGAGATAATATATTGTATTCTTATGTTCTCTAACAAAGACTAATAAACTTTGCAAGACTATATCCATATTTAATCCCATCTCTATATTCTCAAGAGAATGCAGTATAGCGGCCAGGAATCATCTTAACAGTTAATTTGTACGAACATGTCTGCAATCTTAATATTGTATTTACATGTATGTCAATGGCTTCTACGTGCTTCACTCGATGAAATACTGTGGTACAGTTTAAAGCCGTCAGAGATTTTTTTTTGTTTAAGGGAAGTAGTATTCTTGCGTTTATCGTCCATTTTGGGGCCTAGAATCAGCGTTTTCAAACGTCTTTAGATATGGGTATATTGAAACGCCGAAAAATAGCGTTTTGAAAGAGCCAGAATCATGTTTCTGAGAGATGATAAACGTATTTAGCCGTTTTGAACCCCACATACAAATCGGACCTTCCCAAGCTCACTATGAATATGACGGACAAAGAAAGAGGACAAAATATACAGTTCCTCAGGTAGATAAAGGAACATCTTTGTCCGTCATGTTCATAGTGTAATTCCATGTGCTGTGTCATGTTGGTGTACAAGCATTTGTGTGACTTGCTTGTCTGCTTCCCGGGTCAAACAGCGCAAATGTATACTCCACCATTGGCATTGCATATTATATTGAAGTAAGCTGCAAATTCCTGGATAAGTATTTGTGTTGATAGTTTAAAAAAACAGACTTATTATGTGGTCGAAATAAAGTTTTATTTAATACTTAGTAAACTTTAGTCAAGCCACAATAGGACTTACCTAATCACTTTTGATATAAATAGTTAACAAAGTACTCATCAGTACTGCAATAACAGGTAGATGTTAGCTGTAAAAATCCACATGTCCCTAGTAATATCAATTTAGGGGGGGGGTCAAATTATCGAAAATTGATTTGGGATGATTGGATTTGCGTACTTGATGTAGTGTACAGCAGATGATAAAAAAATAAAATGGAGCTATGAGTGAAAGAAATAGGAGGAAACCAGAGAGAGTGTACAATAATTAATGCAAATCTAAAGGGACAGGGACTATATCTCCTCCCGGCATGTTCAGTCTGCCCAATCAAATTTAGACCATCAAGTACAATTGTGATTGCTCCTTTGATTTCTCCTTTAGAAACCAACAACAAAATTGATAACAGGTCTTGTCATTTGATTAGAAAGGAAAACAATCCTACTTTGTTAATGACGTAGCTCCGTTTTGGCCTAGATACCTATAGGCCTTATAAAAAGTGTTTTAAAAAACAAAGAAAAATATGTGACCCTCCCCCCCCCAACCCCCCCCCCTCCCGCCAACACAGGTGAAATTTGAATATTATTTCATATGAAGTAGCATGTTTCTTTGTCAGTTGTCTTAGTTTGTAATTCTTATAAATTTGGCAACAGTTCAAAATCTAGTTTTTTCGACTCATTCATTTTTATTGTGAAATAAAAAGAAGAAAGAAAAATCGAAATAGTTTACACAGTTTAATTACGTAAAAGACGATACAATTTTATTTAGATAAAGCTTAAGTTACACTTACAAGTTATATGATACTAAATCAAATGTTCTCGACTCATGTGTTGTTGTTTTTTTAAAAAAGCGTACAAGGTTACGGAGTTTCGATACGTGAACAAATTACAATTTTATTTTAGAAATAATTATCATACGCGTCCAAGTTACATTACACTAATTAAATGTTCTCGACTTTTTCAAATAACAAGATAAAGATAGTATTTTGAGAAATGCTTACTATACACATGCAAGTTACATATTTACGCTATCCTTTCTTTATCAGAACCAAAATGTCTAGGCTTTCCTTAGTGGATTACATTGTTGTCTACGATTTTCTAAATACATGTACAATAACTGAAAACAAAGAACATGTAAAGGTAAGATATAATTAAAAAAAATATAATGACTATATGTCAAAATGTGAGTTACAATTATTTATGAAGAGCTTGATTCCAAAAGGAGCTTTTTCCATTTTTATCAAAATTGAGTTTGTTGTCTTATATTCTAAATGGGAATCAAATGCACTATATCACATTTTGAAATTTTATCTTGAAGAAAAAAAATAGCTACAACATTATGTTTAATTTCAAAAGGAGATAAAGCTATTAAAAAAATATTTTAAAAAATAACAAGAATACAATATACTTGGTAGGTTTTTCAAAACCATACATTATTCGTGAAGGGTAATACCTCCGACATATATACCAACGATGAACATACATTACTAAATGGAAATTGGTAGGATAAACAAAAGGTAATTTTAATACTGGAAAATACCAAAAGAGGATTTATCTCCTTTTGGAATTAATCTCTTCATACTTTAATCTTTAAACAATATATGTGCAAAAGTGCAGAAGTCGGCAGGGAATTTGAAAAGCTGGTGACAGTCTTTGGTTTCATCCCCTTACCCATTTCCCTCTGTTTTATCTTCTTCTTTGAGGTCTGTAGCCTAATGACTTCCAGATTATACATAGTTTTTATCTATTTACTTATTTTCCAGGTATAAAACAACAACTACAAAAGGATAACATACATATCTAATGAAAGCATACACAATCGATGATAATAATAACGATATAAATGAGAACGAAATCAACTATTGATTTGGTGGAAGCAGAGACAGACTGCTGGAAGGAAAAGGTGTGTTAAAAATGTGAGCAGCAGTTTTTGTTTTTTTTTAAGTTATGAAATGTTAAAGTTTCGATCAATCAATCACGAATTGCCAACTGTGTGACGTATCTTACGAGGTCCTCCCTCATTTGCTCTGAATTTAACAAATCAGAAATCTATATTTTCTCTCAAAATATGTGTTCAGTCATACACGCGCCCTAAATATAAGTATTGGTAGTATGATTCTATACTACCCCTGCATGAAACAAATGTATTCCATCATCACTAAGAAAATTAACGTGTATTGTTAAACAAATCGCAGAGCATTTAAGAGAGCAAAATTTGGGTTCACTGACGACAACAAAAGTTTAATAACGTTCCTAATTCTACTCGAATATTAATCAAACTCTCACCTAATTGAGTAATCTCATTTTCCTCCCTTTATTGAAATTAGCTAATTATCAGGCTGTATTTTCTAAATAAAAAAGAGTATTTCATCAACAACAAATCTGGCAATTTCATGATTAAAGAGAAAATCTTGTTGGTTCAAGTAGGGCTCTGTGATTAAGGCATAATTGACTTTAAAGCAGATGGCCAAATAAACCATTCTGTTGTATAAACTTTCATGCAGGAGGCAAATTAAACAGAACTAGTCGCCTATGATTTGAGAGACAATGCAATTTCAAAAGAAGACAGTCTAATATGATAGCGTCTTTGCACTGATTATAATGGTTTAATGTGGGTTTTTTTTTTTGATAGGGTAAAGAAACAGGAATACCATAGTCGACAATCAGCCAACAGAGTGAACAGAAAAAATGCTTACGGATTACTGGATTTCGATTATTGACAGTGCGACGCATAAACCAGTCAATTGAGAACATTTAGTTTAATACCGAGCTCCTTTGATGGTCTTTCCAACTTAGGTCATGTGATAAACCAACATTTGTTTTTCAATCAAATTTGTATTCTTCATCCTTGTCTTCTAATTCTTTCTAGTCAGGGAAGAATCTGTCACGCAGGTCCAACAACCCAGCCCTGGTGAGGGCGTCCTTCAGCCTGTCCCGTTGCTCTGTGACTGCTGTCCTAGCTCTCCAATTCATCAACATCTGACGGGTTCCTCTAACCGTAAGGCAACCTGTTGAGCTCATGACAACGTGACTGTGACCCCTGTGAGACTTCCAGAGTTTGCATCAACCTGTCAAGGTGTTCATCAGTCTCGATTTCTTCGGCGATATCGTAAAGAAGTATGTCGTCCAACTTTGCTGGGGCAGCTGGCAGCCTTGTGGAAATATATAATAGTATACCAGTGGTAGCACCATTGTATTTTTTGCACTGTTGTAACAAATTTGGACAGGGAATTATGGGCACATTTAGCTATGTCGACCAACATGATTTCAATGGGTCACTACAAATGAAAAACGCTAAAACTTACTCGGTAACTCATTCGTTGTTACACAATGTATTGGATATAAGTCTTGTATATCAACACGACATGTAAAAATGTTAGCAATCCGATTGGAATTTTGTTTAAAGTTATAACTTTATCAGTGTTTCATACAGTGGTAAGATATAGGACTGACATCAACTGATTCTGAAAAGAGTTTACCTTATAGGTAAGCGGTGAACTCGTGCTTCTCCGTTCAATCAAGGGTAGATGTGAAACATTTGGGAGATCTTAGTTCTTTATAAAACTTGAATTTGCTTATGTTTTAGTTTTCACAAAAATGGTATTTTCAGTGTGTCGATAAGTACTTACAGGTTAGGAGGTAAATCACCATCTGCATAAGATAAATAAATAAAAACATAAACAATACAATAACTTAGGCAGAAAGCTTGGGAAATTAAGATCATCGCCATTTTGGACTGAAAAAAAGAAATTGATTTTAAACGTTATGAATTAAACCTATTTATTAGCCATCGAAAAGAAGTACTCTTTTTACACGAAAAGTAATATACTATACGGAGCACTACTAAGGATACTTCAATGTTTACAGTGCTATCCAACTCTTAATTAAATACTGCACAAACAAAAGTGACTGTTTTTCGTTCTTTGTTTATTATTAAGAAGGTTTGAAAGAGTTGCCAGGTGTCACAAAGACAAGGAAGACAATTTTGAAATAAAGACACAAGTATCAGGGACTCCACCACATTGTAGTTGAGTAAAATGAGAGAGAGAGAGAGAGAGAGAGCACGCGAACATGCGTGTGTGTGTGTGTGCCAAAGGTCAGGTCTAAAATCAACATAAAGCTATAGATAATACAGGTTTATTATAGAATTGTCAAAGTGAAAAAATACTATTCAGACTACGAAGAAAGATATTTTTTTAATTAAAGGAAGAAACAAGAAAAGTATAAGCAAAGTTCCCATCAATTATATTTGTATGCATGTCGACCCGGATACGTACCATAGAATTTCGCATTAAAGGCATGTCCCTCGTCACAATGAGGATGAAAGTTGAACTTGAAATATACATCGGCATCGCCGGTCGCTTTCACTAAGAAACTGACAACGTTTCGGTCCAATCTATAGATATCATCTAGCGATACGGTCTTCATTTGTGAAATGGAAACACACATTAAAAAAAAAAAAAAAAAAAAAAGTTGGCGATTTGAACAGCATATTGCGTTGTATATATAAAAAAAAATCACGTTCGGGTTAATTTGTTTTATTCCCCAAATTAAAAAAAAAAATCGTTGACATTATGTTAAATTAATTCCCTGGAATTCTTTCGAATCACGTTGAACCAAACAAATCATAAGTTATAATACAGGCAAACAATTCCTAAGTTATTTACATATTTGCCCGATTATACTGTTTTTGCCACGATAAAGGCTAAAATTTGTTCGCATGAAAATGATATTTTCGTATCAAATGTCTTGTTCGTATTGCATTGCTATAAAACTAATATTGGAGGAACTGAGTGAAGAACATATTGTGCAAACACTAAACAATACCAAGGAGTAAGGGTTGAGAATCCGAAGGTTGTAGTGATGATAGATCATTTCTTCGTTCTTCTCACCACTCCCCCCCCCCCCCCCCCCCCCCTTGGAGATATATCACGACCGCCCTGAGTTTTAAACTAAGCGTTCTGAATTTAGCCAATGTATAAATTGTTTATATATACCTTTTCGTTCTCTGTGACATGACCGCCGTCGATCTCGCATCTGATCTTCAGTTCGCCTTTTTCCCAAAGCACAAACATTTCCTTTGTCGGAGCCATCTTGCGAAAATTGAGCTTTTCTTCCTCGGTTTCGATGAGCTAATTATTCAGCGAAGAAATAGAAAATGCAAAAAAGGACGAAAGAAGAAACATTACCTGTTTTGGCTTTTCCACCATAAAATCCAAAAATTTATCTTAAATTGCCTTTACTCAAAAGTTTCGCTGGTTTATCTCTTCAAAACGGGGGGACCGGGGTGGTATTCATTTTCCCTTCCCATAACAAAAAATAAATATATAATGATGATGGTAATGATGATGATGATGATGACAATGATAATGATAATAATATTGATACTGATGATAATCATGATAATAATACTAATTATAAATACTACCACTACTCCTACTTAATATCGATACATCATGATACTGTTACTATTCGCACTACCCCCTGTCTACCATCTTACTATCCCCACTTGAATCTTCTTCTCCCTCTTCATCCTCTTCTTAATATTACCATCCTTTTTTTTTCTATGCTTTCTTTATTCTACACCACCATCATGTTCTTCTTCACTTTTCTTTATCTCCTTTTTATATAAAACTGAGTTAGGGAGATCAAATAATAATAAGAAATAAGAATTTTAAAGTTAGATATTATTTTTAACAATTTACTCATTTAAGTTCAGTTCATTAATTTGATGTCATTTAATATGAACGTTTTTATATATTGTATTTTACATTTGTAAAACATTGCCCAATTCGGCCTTGTGGGCCGCGATGTATTGTTGATCTTTTATTCTCAATAAAACCATTATCAATTCAATTAAATTCCTACTACTACTGATGGAAATAATAATATATTATGAACGAGATTAGGGGAGGGAATAGAAGGCAACATGACGTGGACGAAACAAGATGAAAGTTAAAAGAATATCCATAATAAAGCAAGCCTCTACCACAACTTCATCCACTTAATGAAAATCAGACAAAATAACCTTTTGCTATTGATATTTTATCTTGAGTTCATATTTTTAATAGTATTATAAATGTTGGCAAGTTACTCACATCCTCAAGACCAGGAGTATCATTATACAGACGTAGATGGCAGTATTGCGGTAGGAGGCGACTCATTGATTTTGGAAGGTAGGGTGTTGAAGCCACACGTTTCCCAATGAGGTAGTCGGAAATGACCATGAACATTTCACAAATTGAGAAATGGTCAATGTAGACTTCAAGTTCATCTTTTCTTACGACGCACCGAGGTGTTCCAGTTGATGACAGTTCTTCCTTTGTGACTGCAAATGTGTGGAAGATGTTAATGGAAAGAGAAGAGAGGCTTTAGTGATGACGGGCATGAAGACGAAACAAAACACTCATCATCATTACATCATCATACAAAATATCTCTGCTTCTAAATAACATAGAAATTTTATTTCAAGTGCTAAACATACAATTTCTGGAGCCAACCGAAACGGCAGCCATTTTCCAGAATGGCCGCCAAAAACCTAATATCTCCCAGTATCTCCACTTCTAAAATATGACTTACCTAGGGCTCTAATTTTCAGTGCTAAATATACATTTTCTGGGGCCAGGAATCCAATGAAACACATGCAAATTAATGTCTCATGGTCCAGACAAGAAGTAGAGGCCTACAGGGGGCGGATCCAGCAGGCGGTGAGGGTGGAGGCCTAAGAGACAACTTCTCCCTGCGATGACCATCCTCTAAGACAACTATCCTAGGGGGTAGTTGTCATAAGAGGTAGTTGACTGGAGGTGGTTGTCCGTGACGTGGGTGGGCGTCCAGGGGGCAGGTGTCCAGTTACGGGGACCTGTGGACACTTTGCGAGACTGGTCTATTACTTTTCAAAAACACAGTAAACATTTTATGTATGTATCGTTTGCAACTTCCCCCCCCCCTCTCTCTCTTCTTTTCTTTCTCCTTCCCTTTGTATCTACATGTGTCGTTTACAACTTCCCCCCCCCCCTTCTCTCTTCTTTTCTTTCTCCTTCCCTTTGTATCTACATGTGTCGTTTACAACTTCCCCCCCCCCTTCTCTCTTCTTTTCTTTCTCCTTCCCTTTGTATCTACATGTGTCGTTTACAACTTCCCCCCCCTTCTCTCTTCTTTTCTTTCTCCTTCCCTTTGTATCTACATGTGTCGTTTACAACTTCCCCCCCCCCTTCTCTCTTCTTTTCTTTCTCCTTCCCTTTGTATCTACATGTGTCGTTTACAACTTGCCCCCCCCTTCTCTCTTCTTTTCTTTCTCCTTCCCTCTATTTCTATATTCTCCTCTCCTTTCTCTCCTCCACCGTCTACACCTTTCGTTCAATCTCTCTCTCTCTCCGTCTCCTTACTACTTCTCTATTCAATCTAGTCTCCCGTCGATCCTTTTCTCTCCTCTCTATCTTTAAATGTATATTTCTTTTTAAAGTTTTCCCTATTATTACGTAATACATGTATATCTATGCTTTTATAAATGTCACGACTCTAGTATGATTTTATGTACATGTATGTGACGAATATGCCCAAGTGTTCATCAATTATCTTGTAGCTACATTGTATTTTGTTCATGTGCTGCCAGTGGAGGCCAATTTGCTATGTTTTGAATATGGATCAATAAAAGAATCTATCTATCTACTCATGTACTAGTATCAGTATTACTATTTGCATTGTATGAATGTCCATATACCGTCATTAATGTAATATGTTGTTTTTATGACATGAAGAATGCGATGCATATCTATATTTATATTTTAATATCTCTAATGTTCACCTTATAATATTCATACTTGTCTTGCAATGTATCTTTGTATTTTATCAACATGTACATAATTGTTTTCCCTCTGTGTCCATCTGTCCCCTTTCTCCCCTCTCTCTCTCTCTCTTTCTCTTTCTCTCTTTCTCTCTTTCTTTCTCTCTCTCCTGCTTTCCCATCTTTCTTTCTTTTTAACTCAAATTTTTAAATTGAAATATTGTATAAGATTAATGGTATATAGTATATACACGCTCTTCATAATTATGTAGATTGTAGTGTGACATCTTGAAATGTATACTTGCTTTTTTCCAGCAATTTACTCATGTGCAATTCAGTTACTTTTTACTGTGATATCACTTGAAATGTATAATTGTCTTCACCATCAATGTTTTATTCATGCACAATTCAGTTACTTGTAACTGCGATACATGGAAATGAATCAATAAATACCATTTATCTATCTATCTATCTATTTTAAAGGTAAAGACCAGTTATGGTCATGCGATTGCATTGTGAAAGAAACGTTGTGGAATCGATCAGAAAAGGTTGATCATCTAGCATCTAGCATCTGCAAGGTTCTGGAATCATCAAAATGATAAGAAATTTGGCCCATTCTTCGTAAAGTTACAAGCACTATACACAGAAAGATGTATATTGGACTATCCTATATCTTTCACAGACCATGAGAGAAACAAATTTACCAAATATATGAATTAGTAGGCGGTTTCCCGGCAAATTTTTTATCATCATGTGTCAAAACATATTCTTTCACATGATTGGTAATGAGAGCTTCCATTTCATTTTTTGAAATTGGGGCGTTTCCAATACTGGTCTTTACCTTTAATACAATCGAATGTAATCAAACCGACGGCCAGACAATTATAACAGAGGGACTGTGTCATGCAATTCAAGAAGTCAATTACTTCAATAACATAGTATTTATTTCAAACAACATGATTCTACAATGAGACGTCATGGGAAAACATTCAACTCCACTCAACTAGTCTACCAAGTACACTGATCAACACCTAGTTAAACACACAATCTATCTACATTTTCGAGTATGTATATTGAATGTTTAACATCAAATTGTGGAATAATAACTTCTGATAAGTTTAGTACTGCATGTATTTTTCTTCACAATATTTGGTCAATTATTGATGCAATGTAGTAGAACATTTGAGCCCATGCCTATGGATTCTTTTGAGCGGGCTTCAGAATTTGTAAATACTGGACATGGGCATGTTTCACGAAACCATCAGAAGAACACAGTCACAGATATCCCATTGCAACATGTGTTCATAAAACAGTTATTAATTGTGTTTGATTGATATGAAAATCTTAGGATTTAAAAAATATTAAAGGCCCAATGAATTTTCTGTCAGTTTTTAAGGTACCTTTTGCGTTTACATTCAATTGGATAGATGATTTTGAATGAAATATATGAAATTTACGATTGATTTCAAGTTGCGATCAATATTGTTTCATAAATGTCAATCATCTGTTTTCCAATGGCATAGAAGGAAAAGGGTTAAAAAAAAAAACACTTTTGTATTTTCATAACAAATTTGACACTTTGATTACCATACTATGGTATGGCTTCCCTCTCTGACAACATAATGGACAAACTTTTTTCTACAAACTACATTGCAGGAATTGACTTATCAGCAACATAATTTGTTTTTAAATCACGAACATTACTACTACTACTACTCTCACCCCACCAACTAGCTCCTTTATATCTTACCGAATTGCTAATTCCATAAACCACATTGAATGCTATGTTCCAGTTCCAAGTCTCTGCTATGTGTTCCACAAACCATGACAAAGTCAAACAGGGATAGGTCTTTTTCATATGCAGCCACTTTTTTGTGGAACAAGTTGCCAAAACAACTGAAAAGTATAGGATCCTATAACAACCTTTATCAATTCTTTGAAGACGTATCTTTTCACCACTTCATAAATAACCAGAATCATGAACCCAGTGCATTGTTCATTTGTTCTTAAAGTTCATAGAGACATGCAATTGTGCCTAATGTCCTTTGGCAAGACATTGATCTACATTTGCCACTCTTCACCCAGGTGTTAAATGGGTACCCGGTAGGATGCGAAAGCTAATGTGGTTAGATTAGCAAGTGTGCGCATGTAAAAATGACGCCTGGCTGGAATGCTCCCCAGGGAGTGGAGAATGTGCATACATTGTGTGCGGGTAAGTCTGAATCCAATGACCGGGGTGATAATATACTTGTCTGTAAAGCGCTTTGTGAGGGCCTCCGGTCCTGAAAAGCGCTATATAAGAACGAGCTATTATTATTATTATTATTATTATTATGTGTTATGCGCTGAATTAGAATGTTTAATAATTATCATTATCACTTCTCTACAGACTGTGCCCTTATAAACTATGCTGCATAATCCTTCTACATGAGACAGACAAAATAACAACATAATCTTGTTTAGTACATACAGGTAACTTTGTACAAGTCCAACCTCTTGGGACTACAGAAATACATTCGACTTAGGAGAAATTCTACTTATGAGAGGAAAATAACACATGTTTACATTATCTGGTCAAAAAATGGCTTCGACTTAGGCGATTATTCGAAACATGGAAGGTCGACTTAAGTTAACTGTATGTATATACAAGTACTGCCATACAAGATACAAAAGAGTACAAGAACTTCTGTCAAAAAAAATCTTTGAATGAAACAGATGAAATTAAAATATTAACTTGTTTAGTACATATTGTAAGTACTGTCATACATGATACACAAAATTACAATTATTTAACTAGGCGTTGTGGCGTGCGCCTGTAATCCAGCTAACAGTGGAAGTTACAAACTGATTCAGCCGAGGACGCAGGTTCGAAACTGAGTCACGTCTTTCGGATGGTGACGTTAAAAGTCGGTCCCCAGACGTAAATAATCATATCTGATTGATACACGTCTGTAAAAACCCAATTACACACACACAAGATCTATGTCACCAAAAAAACATCTTCATATGGTATTAGACGTGCAGCACACAAAAAGACAATAGTTCCATTCCACGTCCTCCTCAAAAAGGAGTTGAGCGTAATCAATGAAGTATGAACTTATAATTTGTTTAAATATTTTGTCTTTATTTCCTCAACAAACAAAAAGAGTTCAGCTGAATCAACTAACTTTTTATTCCTTAAAACTGTTCCATGATTTTTTTATTTTTTTTCAAACACCATTACAGGAAAAACTCATTGTGAATAGCAATTACACACGTCCAGCAATGGTGACTAAAATTGTGGCTTCATGATTTACGGAGCTAGCTTTCTGATGGTTTAGAAAAGTACATCCTGCCGCATTAATCATCTCAAAATTCAAAATAGCCATTAACAAAAAAAGAAATCATGAAATGGAACATATAATATTCATTTATCATTATTCATCCATGATTAAAAAACCTATTGATATGACTAAGGTTAATAGTAAAGATATCAAACCCCATAATTTGTCAATGGCAATATTAACAGATTTTTATTTTTATAGATTAAA